TGTTGGCGTTGGGATCGTCAGATCGGGGGATGGCGATCTTGGTGGCTGTTTTCAGCTCCAGCTCCTGCAACTTCTCCCCGTTCTTTCCGATCACAAACCGATGATGTTCTTTCGGAATAAGCACAGTCGCTGAAGCCTGAGAAGTTCAGCATTAAAATACAACTTTTAACCCAGAGAAAAATGAATTGAATAAGAAATGCAAGACTCAAACAAGCACCTGAGTCTGCAGTCGGGCCACAATCTCCTTCCTCGCTTTCATGACCGAATCCAGTTTTCCAGTCACCATGATGGAGAGGCCTTGGTCCTTGGCAAGAGAGAGTTCGATATGTGCCCCGGTCTTTTGCATGATATCCAGGCACACTTTTGCCTCCTCACCCTCACCAAACTGACTGTTGTCTTTATACCGCCGCTCCTCCAAAGGGACATGGAACACCTGAAGGTGCACAGGGTGAAGAAGAAGAAAAAGTGTAACAGGCCCTCAATAACAATGAAAATACATGGTGGCTTGACGAGCAACTTACTCAGACTGCACAAACCTTCTATAGAGGATTATATATGTTACCTGAGTGATAACAGAGGCTTTGATGGGTCGGATTTTGCTCCAAACACTTGCCGGCTCACCGGTCTTTTCACCTGGAGTGCCCTTGTCCGGCAAAGGTGGAAAGGCTTCCAGATAGGTGGGTATATATGCTTCGTCTTCTGGCACACGACCTAATCACAGACAATACGAAAAGGAAATAGTAAAATGTACACAACAACTTTTCTTAGAATTATTTTGATAATATAACAGTATGATGCTATATAAATACAATCAACAAGGGTCATCAAGAATGAAGAACAGAAGAAATACCAACTGCATAAACAATTATTGAAAATACTGACATGTTTTTCTTTTTGTACATCTTAGTTGTTCAGTTTAGTAAATACTTAACCAATAGTGGTACATCAATTAGATTACTTTGAGATTGATAATTATAAATGGAAATAATTATATTATATTATAATAAGCCATTTTTATTTTTCAAAGAGACACTATTTACCATAATTGTGCATGATGACATGCTGCAGCAGAATGCTTCACACACGCTGTGTGATTCAGATAAGAACAGCTCTGCTGTCACTGTCAAAGATCATTGTGACACACTGACAACTTGTAAACAGCATGAGTGTTCAGCATCACACAAATCAGGGATGTGTTCAAAAACAGATGTGCCTAATACTAGCTTTAAAACTGTTCCAGTATCAAATCATTCGTTTAAATTATCTTTGCCGCTACTTATTAAGTATACTAATATTTGTATTAGCATCTTTGACTTGTTCTTTTAATTCATTGTTACATCCGTTATCTATTCCTGCCATTACACACACACATCATGTATTTTTGTAGAAGAATAGTTTCACCCCTAATTCTTCCACAGTCGTTATACCTGTGATCTCAACGTCCTTCAAGCCACTGCGGTGCTCTGCAAAACTCTCCTGAGTCAACACTGCCACAGAGCTCATGTTTCAAGACCTGATCCGCTATCCTGCAGAGACCAGGATAAAGAGGAGGGACATGTGGAGAGAAAAAACACAAAAACAAAAATATAACAGCAGAGAATATCTAGGCCAAACACACAGCCTTCAATAAAACTAACTAAAAGAGCATAGCAGTAATGGACTACTTTCATTTGAGTGATAAAGTGCTTGCTGAGCTCTATTCTCAGCGGTTTCAGCAGCCCAGCAGGGCCCCGGCACACACTGGCATCTCCCTGAGCCCAACAGCATCTCTCTCCACCTGAGCTCTCCAATTAAAGATGCTGCAGCTGTGAAATCTGACGAAAAGCCTTGTGTGAGCTTGACTAATGTAACAATTATTGATCGTTGTTTAAAATGATAAATGTTTAAAGCTGTCAATCTTTTAGATACCACGGACCCCCAAAATGATCATCCTCGTCTGAGGAACCCTATCCTAAAATTTCAAAGACATTCTTGTATAAAGACCCAATTAATACAGTGAAAAAAATAATATTACATATATGAATAAAATATTGTTTAAAAAGCAATTAGGTAAGTCCCTTTATTACATAATTTTAATTAATTCCTTATAGTAGATATAAATGCAATATTTATTTAGTTAATTACATATTTTAATCTAATGTTTTTTATTCATTTAATGAAACTTCTTTTAATCAAAAAACATTTTATTTTATTTAAACTCGTTTTTAATTTTAATCTAATTTTTACATTTTTACATTATTTTTCTCTAAACTTTTCCATGGACCCCTAGCACTTTGCAGCCCCCTGGAGGTCCCCGAACCCCAGATTGAAAACATCTGGTCTAAACTAGTGGAACTGTAAAGAAAGATGTGACGATGAAAATGATTATATACTTACACTGAAAGTCACATTTTCTGTAAACAGTTTTCAGAAAATTTCACTGCAGCTTATACACTGCGCACGTGCATTAAAAACAAGCTGTATTCAATTCTGTAAGTGCATGCAACATTCTCATTTTTCAAATATGCCTTAATATCACAATCATGCCAAAGCCAGACATTTTAACCCACCTGCAAAGGGTCGAAAACCAGAAAGTCCGTCCAGGTGGATGCTACTGAGAGCTCTTCAGTGTCAGTCTGTTTGTTCAGCCCTGTGTGGGTGAGGTTAGCAAAGAGAGATTGTAACCAGCCTTGTGGTTACATACACATAAAAAACAGCATCTTATGGCAAGGCCCTCTGAGGTTGACCGAGGAGGGGGGCCGAGTCACAGTGGTCTGTCCTGTGGGAGGCAATAGCTAGATGTGGTGCTAAGGATAGCCTCCACTTCACTCTCAGGTGACTAGGTATCTAATTGGCGTGTGGGTGTTTGTGCTTACTGTAGTGATGGCAAAAACACACACACGCATTGTATTTACACATGGGATTGAAACATTTTACACATATTCATCTTAACACTCATTGAGAGAGCAAATTACCCATGTAGTAGAATAATACATGTAATAAAACAGATATGGGCTAATAGGCTTGCCATTATTTTCTAATATTATGAGGATCTAATTGCCGAGTGTTACTTTGTTTGCTTTTGCGGTGATAATACGTTTGTAGGGAGAAATGCCTTATATACAAAGGTTTTCTCAGCTTTTAGGTCTTGAGGGACCCATGCATGCCACTTGCAAATATATTTTTACACAACCTGCATGTTCAGTATCAAAACAAACAACAATATAAGCAATTATCGCGCTCTCCAGTCTATTTGCATACTATATAAAATGCATATATCATGCACTATCAGGATCCATATCATCTGTAAGCTCAGTGCAGAGCAGCAGTTCTGTGTAAACAAATACTGGAGCAGGCTAACAACACTGCCTGACATATAACAGCGCAATTGGCAGTTAAAACAGCTGTTAAAACCTCGATTAGCAAAGTGAGGGAGAGTGCATTCGGTATCGTGGTGACAGGCTTAGTAGTAAATGTTCTAACCTGCAGAATATATATTCAGGATATCTGAGTTTAGCTGGCCAGCTAATCTGCTAATTTACATGTAACGTTAACAGCTCGTTAGCTACAGAGCTACTGTCTTTCTCTGCTTTAAATACGATAACGTTAATCTGATTGCAGAAAACGCGTTATGTTCATTCAGTCAACAAAACGGTGCGACAAGAAGCACGTCTACGGAAACAAAAGCAACTGATCACCTTATCAGACGGAAAAGCCTAGCCGCTGGTCTGCTGGCAGTAAACACTGCTGCTGAGAATCGACTCTCCAATTGAATCGAATCTTTGATTCATGAGTTATCTTTAATGATTCAGAGATATTCTTTTTATGTTTTATGAGTTTTGTGTTTGTTTATTTATTTGTTAATTGTTTTTATGTTGCAATCAATGTTAAATTAGATCGGGGAAACAGATCATTATTTTGTTAAAAACTATTCTTGAATCGTAAAATATTGGTAGGTGTACAAATGCTGTTGGATTGTATTGGATACTGGGCAAACCGACAAAGTAACGACAATTTACTTTAGATGTATTTGTCTCTTTTCATATAGTATGGAAGTCCGTTTCCGCCACTGAATTAAAAAAAAGGTAATTGCGACTTTTTATCTCACAATTCTGACTTTTTTCACAGAATTGTGAGATATAAACTCGCAATTGCGAGATATAAAGTCAGAATTGCGAGATATAAAGTCAGAATTCTGACTTTTTTTCTCAGAATTGAGAGATATAAACTCGCAAGTTAAAGTCCAATTCTGAGGGGGGAAAAAGACTGATATGTTCTCAGAATTGCGAGTTTATATCTCTCAATTATGACTTTTTAACTCGCAATTGCGAGTTTATATCACGCAATTCTGAGAAAAAAAAGTCAGAATTGTGAGATAAAAAGTCGCAATTACCTCTTTTATTTTTTATTTTGGCGGAAACGGCCTCCATAGAAACGGGCTTCCATAGTTTTCTGGTTTATCACAGTGGAATGAGTGAAAAAAAATATTTCTCTGTTGTATAATTTGGAAAGACTAAAAGTAAATCTTATATCCTTAGTAAAAAATGAGATTTTTTATCCCCTCATTCATCTCGTTCAGAAAAAGCAATCAATACAATTTGTGATTCGATTGTGGAAGAAAACAATATAAATGTAGAGAATTTTAAGAATGTCCAAGAAGTTATTAATTAGAACTATACACGAGCTATATTAATTAGAACTCAAAAAGACAAAATACAACTTTGTGATTTTTTAAAGCACTAAAGAGATGGTCTCTTTATGAACGATCTTCTTCAGCAATTATGTTCTCACAGTATTTCATATATTCTATGTTATTTTGTATGTTTATTAAACCGTTTTTCTTATAGTAAATAAATTACCATTTCGTAACTATGATTTCAGGTTACTGAGCTTGATTCCCATAAACCTGATGCACGTCTCCGCTGGGTGGCAGCCAAAGGAGGGTGTGTGCACAGGCAAAAATGGGAAAGGGTAGGGTGGGATGGGAGGAGGGGTATCCACTAATCACACTGTCCCTGTCCGGTTGTTCTTACATACACGCTCACGAGCAGGAAAACAAAGAGCCGGAGATGCGCGTGGATTTACCGGAGAGGACAACAAAAGAGGAAATACGAAAGTAACGTCTGATCAGATCCGTGAAGTTCGCTCTGGAATGTGGCGATCTGTTGCTGTCATTTTAAAGAAATGTATTAGCCTAATATGGGTGACTGTATAACTGTTCGTACACTGATATGTTCATGTGCGCTGTGAGTGTTACACCACGCCACTCTAATGTTTTAGTTTTTATGAGGAAGCTTTCTCTGGACACGTTTCAGGAATTCGATTTCTTTATGGATTATATAGGAGAGTGAGATACATTTGGTGAGTAGTCTGGTGCAATGTAACAGATATGACTTTTAGTAGCCTCAGTTGTGAATGTAGTATATTTATTGCATCTTACCTAGTGTTACTTTGTCAGACAAACAAAATAATACCAAATTAATGACAGATTCATTGGTTACATCATGTTGCATTACCGCATTCAGTTCACACAACAGATCCTATAGGAATATTGACTTTTGGATTACATTTTTAATTGGTCCATTGTTTCTGAAACATTGTTAGAAGTTATTATGTAAGAAATTCAATGTTAGGTCCAACAACACAAAGACATTTGTAATCCAATTGATTACAATATCTCAAATACAAAAAAAAAAAAAACCTTCAAAAACTTAGTTTAGTTTACTATCCTTGTAGGGACTCTCCATAGGCGTCATGGTTTTTATAATATACAAACTGTATATTCTATCGCCCTACACCTAAACCTAGCTTTCACAGAAAACTTTCTGCATTTTTACATTCGCAAAAAAAAAAAAAGCTTAATTCTGTATGATTTACAATTTAGGTCCCCACGGTGACACGAGTCCCCATGAGTCTGTGTGAATTCAGGTGTAATCCCCTACGGGATAGAAAAACATGTACACACACACACACACACACACACACACCCACACACTTACTTCTATCGATCTAAAAGGGGACTTTATAGACATTTATTGTTTTTATTTACAGGTAGTTATGAATACTATAATCTCCATAAAGTCTAGCAGAAACGTTTCTGAAATTTTACATTAAAAAATACAGTTTATATATATATATATATATATATATATATATATCCCAGTGATTCTCAGGAATTTGAAAGCAAAGCCAAGGTTCACAACAGGAAAGGAGGATTCCATTCCCAAGATGTTTATAGGTGGGAGGGGAAGTGTCTTGTACACATTTCTGGAACAAAAAAACTGCCTAGCAGGGGATACTTAGGTGTCCTGTTGCTTTAGGGGATGTTTATACCTTATTGAAGTTTGAAATATCAGAAGGATGTAAAAATGACGAAACATTAACGCCCTTCTAATGGTAACCTTTTCAGCCATCCTGTTTCACCCCATGGGAAAGCATTTCTCTCTGGCATTCTTTAATGTTGAACTTTGTATGTTCAGGATATCAAATTAGATCACAGCAGCACATTAGAGAACTTGCCAGACCTGCTGAGTCTGTCTGAGGGGTGCGAGTCAAGTGAAAAAATCAGTGACACCAAAGTTCGACCTGGCTGTAGAATTGTTGACAAAGGAAGTCGTGTTGACACACCCGTTCCCTTCCAAAATATCCAGAATGGGTTTATTCCAAGCCAAGATTCCCAATCAGTTCCATTCAAGTCATGGGTATTGTTTTTAAATAAGGAGAAACAATAAGCAGTTTTATTTAAACACCTAATCATATTACTTTAATCTCATCATGCATTCCTAAAACATGAATAGGCTTTTAGAATCCGAAAGGTCAAAGTACATGGCACTTACAAACATAACATACAAACACATTCCTAGCTATATTTCATACTGTTTCCAGCATGCTGTTTCGCTAAAGAACCAGTCTGATTGCAAGTCCAGCTCCTATTTTATACAAAAGTGTGACATGTAAGAGCAAAGTCCAATGCGTTTGAACCTGTATGGTTTGAGGTAACTCCTGTACAAAGATTACTGTGCCTTTTATTTAATTTAATGAGTTACCAGATGGTAATCGTCATGACAAATGTATATGTAGTTCTGAGGACTTTGTCTCTGACTGAGGTTGCAATTACAGTACTCTTCATGAGGGATATGAAACTGAAAGAATGAAAACTAGGGCTGGACAATATATTGGTACTTGGTACTATATCGGTTATTGGCTGTAGTTATATTTCTGTACTGTATATTAAAATATTGTGATGTCACTTGTAGCATTTAAAATGACTTATTTTGGTTTTAGTGTTTTAATTGTACAACATAACAAATGAACATGAAATGAAAATTGATCTATTTTCTAAATGCGTGTTTTAGATCTGAATAATTCATCTGTGCATGTTTCATCTTTTCAGTTTTCAGTTTAATCAAAATGCAAGACTCCCAATAATTTAGTCCTGCCTCTTCACATTCACACAGTTCACATTCATGTGCCTCCACTTTTGTGTGCCTTTTTTTCAAAAATAACAAATGAACATGAAATGAAAATTGATCTATTTTCTAAATGCGTGTTTTAGATCTGAATAATTCATCTGTGCATGTTTCATCTTTTCAGTTTTCAGTTTAATCAAAATGCAAGACTCGCAATAATTTAGTCCTGCCTCTTCACATTCACACAGTTCACATTCATGTGCCTCCACTTTTGTGTGCCTTTTTTTCAAAAATTCAATCAACAAATCGATACATACAACCAAGTCACCACGCTACATTTTTTCGTGTTTGATTAATTTGTTACACTCGATGTTCATCACAACATGGAATTCCTTTTAATTGTGACTTTAACATCGCCAAATGATGGAAAGAGTTTGTTAAGGTGCATCAGTCATGTTTAATGTCCTTATTATTTGTTACTGCAGGGTGAAGATTGAAGGCCCTCGGTGACCCTGCTGCCTGGCCTCATATTGGCCAGGTTGCTTTGGTTAAAACATCAAAACCAATCAAGATGTCTTCTCAAGAGTCTCTGCATCTGCCTCCAAAACCTGAGGCTAAACCAAGACCCCCGATTCCCAGTAAGCCATCCAATAATACCTCAGATACGTCATCTGTGGAAGGTGCAACCTCACAGAACTCTGGGAATGTCAAAAAGATAGTCAACAAATTCAGCCAGCCAGAGACTAAGATTCCAAGTGGAGATACAGCAAAGAGCACCAGCATAGAATGGAGACAACAAAGACCTCCTGCAATAAAGCCCAGGCGCAAATCGAGAAGTTCTTCCCTCACCAGCGCTGGCAAGGCACCTCCTTTGCCTCCAAAGACCAGACAAAATCACAGTGGACAGAAAGATGAGGTGGACAGCCAAGAGAGCCAAGAAGGAGCTTTGAGTGCTGTTGATGGAGGCCGTTCAGGTACAGTGTATTTACTTTCATTTTCAGGATTTGTTTGACCTACTGCCATGGAATACCTATGCGTGTTTCCAGGAATTTTCTTTCACAATATTCAGTCACAAAATTTTAAATAGCAGTAAACTTAAAGGAATAGTTCACCCATAAATGAAATTTGCTCACCTTTAGGCCATCCAAGATGTAAATGAGACTTGGAGATTTGGAGAAATGTAGCATTACATTACTTACTTACCAGTGTATCCTCTGCAGTCAATGAGTTAATGGAATGAGAGTTCAAACAATTGATAAAAACATCACAATAATCCTCAAGTAATCCACAAGACTCCAGAGTGTCAATTTATGTCTTGTGAAGCAAAAAGCTGTGTGTTCTCCAGTGAATTTTACAGTGAATGTAAATTGCTAGTTTGGTTTTTACAATATAGTTTTGAAAGTAACATTAAATGTGAGCTTTGTGTGTAACATCCTTCAGGAATGCAAGCTATTTGACTTACATACAGTAGTGTTCCTAAAACTCATGCCAGTTTTATTTTCAAATTAAATTGATAAATTTTCTTGTATTGGATGTTTTAGGTTTTGTTTTTTTTTCTAATTCAATGAAGCATAATTCAGACATAACACATCGGAGGTGATTTTGTTGTTGGTTGTTCAGTGGGATTATACAGTCTGTGTCGACTGCTGAACACATGGACAGATGGGTGTGAGGGGATTAAATAACCCCTCTTGGAACTAATTATATTAAAACTACACTACCGTTTAAAGGTTTGGGGGCTTTTTTTAAAAAGTGTCTTACGCTCACCAAGACTGTACATATTTGATAAAAAATACAGTAAATAATACAGTAAAAACAGTCATGATGAATAAAAAGCTTGAAAGAAAATTATTTATTAAATATATATTTCCACTTTTGATTACTGCATCGTAGTTAAATAAAAGCTGATTTCTTAAAAAAAAAAAAAAAATTTTTTTGTGTCTTGTTGAATTTTGAGAAATTGACTTTGAGATGGAGACTTTCCTGACTCTGTGAACCGCAGGACACAGGATTTTTCACGTAACATAATTAACCATTTTGAAGTCAAAGCTTTATTTGTTTAGCGCTTTTTCCACAATACATCTTAGGGTTGGACAGTATAACTAAATCTTTCTAGAATTTCACCTTTTTTTTTTTTTGGGACTCAACACCGAATCAAAATAATGATGAACAAAAAAATAGGATAAATCTCTGTCAGTACTGCACATATATTTTCTTTATTATATGTGCAGTACTGAGTCATATGAATGCAAAACATTACCAAAAAGTCTGTTCCAAAGTTTAAGAGCCGTTTGTTTTTTCTTACTTAACATTCCTGTTGGACATCATCTGAGAATATAGTGTTCATAAAAGTCTTTTACAGTGACAATTATGTGAACTGAGCTAGTTTGACTGTCTTAGAGGTTTGAAAGTAACATGCAAGTGGACTTTATGTGATTATTGGGGTAATAAACCAGTGTCCTACCATTAAGTTCATGCACTCAACTAGTCCAGAATCAGAGAGAGCTTCGAGCAGGTCAGTCACCAGTATAGTGAAATGGCAGAAGGGCTAAAACGAGCATTTGGCAAGATCAAGCAAAATGTATTTGAGGCGATTGAAGATCTTCGGGTTAAGGAGGGGGAGGAGGGATCGACACAGCGCAAAGGTTCGATGCAGAAGTTGACGGCACTGATAACAGCAAGCTCGAAAGCTCGAAGGAACCAGTCAAAGAAGAAGCAGAGAAGAGATGGTAATCTAAGATCTTATACACTGGAAATGGGAAAGGAAGAAAGGAAATTCGAGAGAAATATAATGTTTAGAGTACTGCAAAGACATTCAGTCATGGTACTACTAAGGGTTATAGAGTCAGTCTTTGCTGCAGCTTGTTTAGCATATGTTTATGTAAGAGCCAAAGATACTTAAGAGCATCCATAAAGGAAAAAAAACTTTTTAAATCTAGTGCCTAAATCAAGTTTTTAGAAATGAAAAACTCCTTTGTACCCATATTTGTTTCATATGGTTTAGAACATTTTTCTGCTGTTTTAAAAGTAGTTTAAATTTAATGAAAATGTCATGTGGTATAACCATAAAGTAAAAAGTAATAACGTTTTCCAAACCTCTTGAATACATCTTAATAAAAATATTAAGATATTAATTTTAAAATAATATGGCAAAATGTTTAAGTATAGATAGATAGAAATAGATACGGTTAATTACTCACAATATGGTACATTTTCTGAAATGTTATGTTTAAATATGGAAATGAGGCCTTATTATTAAAAATGCACTCAGCTGCATACATTTCCAGAATGGAAATCTGAACATTGGATAAAGCCAGATTCAAAATTATTGTTTCTTTTGTTGACATAGTAGAGTTAAAGGTTTTTACAGAGGGGATTTTGGATATTTCTATTTACCACTCCATAATTAAAACAAAAAAATACTGTCAACAGTCAGTTTTTAGGAATAAAATGTTTTGTAAATCAGGTGATTGTTATATGAACAAACCCCTATGTAAAATCATTCAGAATTTAGAAAACTCGAAAGGTTTGGTGTACTGTTTGTAAGTGGAGATTTCTGTCTCATTTTGAGAAAACAGCCTTAAAATATATGTTTTTGAATTGATTTTTACAGACATAACTAAATAACGTTTAATCAAATGAACACATAAATGTGTATTTTGGTTGTTTTCTTTCCACTAGTCTGAAAGAAGACGTTCTGGAAGAAAAATATCACAAAATTGACCAGTGCATGAAAAAACAAACAAACAATGGTTTACCTAGTGTCTTGCCTTATAGTTAACATAGCATTTTATAACACAAACTAACCTTCTTCAGGGGTTCTTTACTGACTTGTTTTTTCTCCATTATAATAGCAGGAGAGTTACAATCAAAATTATTCAACCCCCACAGATTTATTGGCAAAATGTACAGACTTTCAGCTGTTGGCAATGAACAAATCAAACAAAAGTAATTGAAATAGCTCAACACAGCAAATGTTTCAAGTGGTTTCCCCAAATTCAATTGAAAATACAACTTGTGTACATGTTGAGACTTCTGCAGTCTCAAAATTATTCACCCCCCTGAATAGAATCCCTCACA